ACTTGGCGTGTTAACGTATTTGCATAAGAATTTTGCGAATTGCCTTGAGCAATGGGTTATCAGAAAAAGATTTAGAAATTATTCACAGTTATAAAATTAGCTGGCATTTTATTGATATACGTGGACTCCAGCATTAGGAAATCTGCTCAGCTCCGAGAGTTAATGCAATTATAATTTATTGGTTTCTCAAAAATTCTAATTTGATCACTCGTCATTTTAATGACTAAATTAAATGTATATGCTTTAAAAAAAAAGAGGAGTGATATAAATGTTGACTTTGTTGTTGATTTGAGTTTAGACGTTTTAGTATGTTGTTTTGACGTCCAAAGTCGTATATCCAATTCGCCACGCGTGCCGCCCAACACCATAATTGCATGCATTTCCGTTGGCTTAATCCGTAATAGGACTGGGACAAATTGGAAGGCTTCGATCATTTTGGTTTTGACTTGATATCGCGTGCGTCAAGTTGCCTTACTTGCTGTACACAGCATAGGAACAAAAATTGTCTTATGTCCTAATTCCTATTTATTTGATGCGTTATAATAATAAATTAAAAATAGTAATTTTTAACATCGACCATGCAACGTGCATGTGTCTAACCATTTACCTAGCAATAAATATTTTTGCAACTGTATCGCGCGCTCGCGACAGATAATCAATGCATGCAGCATTGATTATCTGTCGCGATTCTGGCGGAAGCGCTGCAGTTCTGCCAACCGCATTTTGCCTTTTTCATCTACTCGGAAGAGCGTCGCGTGCGCAGAGATGCGGTGCTGAACGTTACCGATGAATGCATTCTTGGAATTCGCGTCTCGAACACGTACGCACCGCGGAACACGCGTCTTTCTACGCTATTAAGTAATTATGATGTGTATAAATATCAGTCGCATATTAAATTCTTAATTTGTATAATTTGTTGGCTCTATTGTTCAACAATTCATACGCAAGATTAGTCTATGTTCTAAATTCTAATACGTTTATAAAGAAATCCTGAAATGTTAAAAGAAAAGGAAGTGATCAACGCATATTGTCCTAGTTTTCAGGTTGGGCCGATTTTGAATAATAATTTTTCATAGAAACACAATCTCTTACGGGAGGCACATCTGGTGCAAGCCAGTCGGAGGCCGCATTTGGTCAGTCGCGCACGAAGGCCAAGGTCTCATCTGCACCGCTGACCCGATACAAAACCACGAGGTTTTACGGAACGCCTTCATAGCACATTTCAAGTTGATAACGCCAACATTATTAAAATTAAAAGTCAATCAAAATAACATTGACGAGAAAGTTGAATGTCGATACATTTTATGATCATTAAATGATTTTTTTTTTGTAATCATTAGAGGCAAAATCGTTTCACAACTTTGTGAAGTAAGTCGGTGAAATCGAATATGTGCTTACAACAAGTGGGATGTGAGTCTTAAAGATGTAATGGCAGTGACAATGGAAGAGTCTGACGCTGGCAGGGCGCCCGTACCGCCTCCCAGGGTCAAGAAGTTAGCTCGATTAGCGGCCCGCAAAGACAGAGAGCGCAGATCTGTTACTTGGGTAATTATTACAATTAGGTATTGCAATGTTAGTTTAGTTAGAGAAAAAGCGACATTCATTTGCAGTTATTTAAAAATTATTGGTAAATATTAAATAAATGAAACTTAAGCAAACATCTAAGGGAATCGAAAATAAAAAATATAATAAACCTGCTTTAACAATAAAGTATCTTATTCTTTTTGCTGCTTTCGTTCCGACTGCTTAACTGATATTTTATGGCTGTTATCGAAGGTTTGTTCAAGTTTGCGAGCAAAGACGAGTGTCTTGTAATAACAAGACTGGTTTAATATTATGAATAATGTTGAAGTGAATGGTGAAATAACTTCTTATTGCATAACATAACGCATCGAATTTAAGCTAAAGAACGCAATGGAAAGGCTTCACGTATTTATAAGTCTTTAACGTAATTTTTGTCAAAGGCATGTCTAAGGTAGACAAGTTAATCGGGAGTAGCAGACCTTTAAGACAGCTACGTGCTTTTTGAGCACACTTTTAAGCAAGATTATGTCCCCGTTCTGGCTATCCGATAACAAAAAAAAATATTTTTCACTCGAAGTCTACTACCCGCGGTTTCAGCCGCATTTCTAAATTACACAATTAATAATTTCATTCAAATCTATAATCCTTACATCCCCAAGAACGGACGCTCTTCCTTATTATTATTTTTTTTGCTTTTTTTAATAGTTCCATTAATTATAGCCATCATAGGAAATTAATTCCAAACTTGCTTAATCCAATTTTTAATTTTTTATAATTTTTAATTATAGCGCTATTCTCTGCACTAAAGATGAAATTTAATATTGGACGCGGGTTTAAATCTTCACAGCGGCGAAAAAATTTTCGTCCATTTTTTCTACAAATTTAAAATTCGCCTAATCCATATTCGCTCTATTTCGATCTATTACATGAGATGGTCACTCCACATTTACATCGTCAATTTGTAAAGAAATCTTATTTGTCATTCTAGACAGTTCTTATTTATTGGGATTTGTTATTTATTTTGTGATTACTCATAATGAGCTATTAAAACATAGATACACGTGCAGTATAACGTTGAACATATTATGCAAATAAGAATTGCTGTGGTCTTCTTTTGCTACTACACTTTGTTTCTATTTTACAAAATACATATGTTATTAATTATTCAAAAGTGATTCCGGTATTGATTGATGGAACCTAGCGAGTTATACAAATCAACACCGTAATCGGTACTACGGTGGTAGGGCCACGCAGCAGCCTCGGCTGTTGCACGAATGGGCAGGCCCGTCCGGGTAAGTACCACGACCTCACAGAAGACCAGCGTAAAGTGGAAGTATAATACTTTCGCGTTTCGTCTGGTGAGTGAGGTGGCCGGAGCCCAATTTTCAAAAGGTTGTCAACGCATCTGTAACCCTCTGGTGTGGCAGATGTCCATGGGCGACGGTATTCACTTAACATCAGATGGAACCGTCTGCTCGTTTGACAACTTTTCCATTAAAAAAAAAAAAATCAAATTTTCATTAATATTACTGTGGCTTACGTACCTATATTATCACACTATCGTGGTCACAATATTAAATTTCCTTCAGTTAAATATATTTTTTCATTTTAATATGTTCTCATCATCATAATCATCATAATAGAAACTGTTAAGATATTATCGAAACTTTTAAAACCCAATATCGTACTGAATAATTTTCAATATTAGTACCATAAGTTTTAAATCAACGGTTGTCATACGGACAAAGGTTCGCTTCGAAGCGAACAAAACTGCTTGATGAACAGACAAAAGCGCCGGGGAACATGATGTCTGTACATTATCTATATATAAAACCGTACTACACACGAGCAATGTTCATATCCATTGAATGGATTGAATGGCGCAAATAAGGCGTGGGAAAGGTTTCACATATGCTCCGTGCTGAATTTCTTCGCACAACAAAAACACTTAAAATTGGTTAAACCAACATCAATGTGAATCTTCGCGCATTGTTATAGTTATTTATGTCGGCATGTTAGCTCTATACGTGTTACTGTTACGCGGTGCAGCTACGCTTTTACTGTTTTCTAAAATGCCTAATAAGATCCATAAGTAACTGTGCTAAATGAAGACTGCAAAAAAAGTCAGAAAAACGGTTCGCTTTTTTGATTACTTTTGTATGATTGATATTTATTACAAAAACTAGAACTCTACTTTGTTTTGTACATTAATGTCATGCTGTATTAGCTCTTAATGAATATGATCAAATGTGAAGATTTTCGGAACTAAATTATAAACACTCGCTTATACAAAATGTAAACGGTCCAACAAGCATCTGGTGAGCACAAAATTCAGGCAGTATTTTTCGTATTTCAGAAATTTAACAGAAGAAAAACCTCATTTAGCTTATGTTAGAATAACCGACGTCGTAGCCACTAGGTACCACATGTTCTCCCGAACAATGGTTATACGAAATATTACCGTCTCATCCTGTTCATTATATTATAGAGTAGTGTATCGAGTGACAACCGTATATTCATAATGTGATTATATCAAGTATAAGTAGATTACATTATTAGTCGGTCTAAGTGGATTTTGCATCAGTCCTTTTTAGGACTGCACGCTATTTAAAATATTAAGGCCCATTTACATGGTGCCAGTTTCTTGCACGTTGTATACAATTAATTTGAAGCAATAAATGAGTTGCATGGTCTAAACAACAAATGGTCTAAACAATTATTGCGCGCAATTTATTGCATTCAATTATTGCTCTTGTATGTACAAGAAAATGGCATCGTGTAAATGGGCCTTTAGTGGTGAGCGGTGACGATTAAATAGCTCGGGATGTCGATTTGCGAACAGAATAGACTTGAATTTTTTTACATTTTTGAAATGTACTTTCAAAAAAATGTACAAAAACTTGTTGAAATTTAGATGATTTTGGATCGACTTACGAGGTTGTGTTAGAAAAACTATTAAGCTGTCTACAAATGTGACGGTCTTGTTCCAAAAAAATAGTTTAGTAATTTATTAAATATCCACGTCAAGCTTAAGCTTCTAATCAGGGATAGAAATTTTAAATACGAGTCGATTATAAGCATGTCATCGGTAGTCTTTATCTTTAAGCCATAAATTTTACTTAGTAACAAGTAAGTCACGAGTAGTTAGACTGCAAGCAATGTTAGAGCACTGTTTACTGTATATATATTAATAAAAACTTTCGTTGAGCAAGAAGTGCTTTCACTAGCTAAAGATAAGAGGTGAAATTTGAATAATTTAACATAGACGATATATTATCATAATAAACGAATATAAAGAAATTCGAGACAATGTAATAATATTACTGGCAAAATAAAGCGTTTTCTATCTATCGTTCTATTATTTAATTTTGTAGTTTAATAAATCGTTTAAAATTATTATATTATTGAACGTCATTATTTTAAGCGTGTTCCCCAAATAGACTATTTTAATAATTTGTAAATTAATACACTTACAGGGCCCGGAAACATGGGTAGGAGTGAGAGCCCTACGCGCCAGTTCCGGCGGCATTCTAGATCCGGACGACCGCGTCTGTGACGTGGCCGACGACCGCGAGACCTTGACAGCGGAGTGCACCAGCCAGGCGCCGCAACCAAGAGCTGCGCAAGCGGATGGCGCCAGCGGTTCGTCCGCCGGCACCGCCTCCCCCGACATGTTTCGGGTATGTTCTTCCTATACAATGAATAATGATTCTTTTTTTACAACGGGGCTTAAATTTTAAATTCCTAATTATTATTAGCGCCCCCTGTAATAGTTTTGAAATTTACGAAAATTATTTTTGACCAGTTCAAATTCATTTTTAGCGTAACATATTATACATTAATATTTTCAGTGTAAGTGTGTAGGTGTGACTTATTCGTTGTGAATTTAATTAAAAAATATATTTAAAATTAGCTTTTTAAATTTCGTACGAGTAGGCTGGATAGTTTATGACATGGGCCTTTTTAAAAAGTTACATAAAAATACCGGGAAATCATTAGATCATGTCAGAACTTGTGTAAGTTTCGAAGTAATTTTAAAGGTGCAATTATAAATTTGTTCAATCATTTTAGGACATGTTTTCTTTTCGTGATCCATATTTTATGCCTTACTCTCGTTCTTGTTTTGATATGGGTTCGTCTTTTTCTGATTTTTGCTGCGGATGTTTCCAAAAGGTAAATGGTTTTATCTTGTTTAAATTTTAACTTTTCTTCGTTCGGTTTCTAGTAAGGTTTCTGTAATAATGGTGAAAGTAATCCTTTTTACTTAAAGTAGTGCAATTTTAAAAATTAAAGTTAAAATAGGTGAACATATTTTAAGGCATATTTCCTGTGAACAATGTTAGTAATAATAATTTTTTATTTTTTTTTTATTTTTATTGATTAGGAAAACAAACAGCACTTACATAAAATAAATAGTACAAAATACACACTGATATGTGGGCCAATAAAGTTTTCACCACTAGCTATTATACACTTAGCATCAGAAGTATACAATTATAACACAATTATAATATCTTATTTTAACGGCATTTACATTTAAAAAAGAAAAATGTTAAAGATAAGAAAAAAAGATACAAATACAAAACTAAAAACCTAAATTATTTGAAAAACAACATTTACAGATTATATATTTATTTCCATTTTGATTGCGGCAAAACATTTTTCTATACTATCTCGAAAAATTTCAATACGATAGAAGTTTTTGTTATACTTACGACAAACTCTTACAGTAAAACGGTTTTTTTTTTTTGTGTAGTTCGTGTTACACAACGGTATATAAAACAGATCATTCGAACGAGAGTTGACTTTGGGACACTTAAATGAAATATTTGAAAGTAGATAGGGAGATTCAATAAAGTTTTTAATTAATTTTAAAAGAAACATTTGATCTCTTAACTCTCTTCGCCTTTCAAGGGAAATTAATGAACGAAGTTAATTATTTGACTCATAATTTACAATTTTAAGGCCCAAAATTTTATACTGAACAGGGCTTCACTTGTTTTTTAATCATTCGGTGGTTATAATAAAATCATCAAAATAACAGTTAAACAGTATTCATTGTTATTTACTTTGCCATAAATAAATATTTATTATTTCATTTGTTTTATCATATTTGATATAAGTGGACATTACGTTACACATTATAGTAGCATCGGACTGGTTATAGTGTTCAAGTTTATCAATTTATAAATTGTACGTATTTATTATAACGGACAGAAAATAACCTAAAAGGATTATAGAGGCACGCATACAGACATTTAGTGAAGCGGAATAATTTAAGCTTATTTGCCATTTCGCGTGTTCCAATAGAAATAAACGCCCGCCGTTTTCATTTAACGATAAGAGTTCAATGGCAGGGAGTAATTGAATATAAATAAAATTTTGTAGTCTTCCTTTGTTAACTCTGTACAGGTTTGTACAAGGAAATTGATCAAAGGTAAAACTATAACATGCGGACAAGTTAATCAGACGATTATCAATTGGAATCGCCTTTGACCAAATTTATTTCATTTACAACCCTTTGGACTTCGCTACACAGGACTAATTTCATATCCGTTACCTCTTTATTTTTCTAACGCGCCCATTGGCGTAGTGGATAGTGAACCGTTCTCGTGTGCAGACGGTGTGGGTCCGATCCCACTGCCGGAAAAATATTGCGCGTGGTGACCATAGTGCTTTTTTTTTTGGGTTTCTAGTGTTTTGGCGTTCATTAATGTATAATATGTATTTAAATATATAAATATGTTCACAGTTACCTAAAACCCCATCGCACAAGATTAGCTCAGTTCGGGACTAGAAATAATGTTTTGTAAAAAATGTTTTATTTATTTGTTTTCTACAGCTTCAAATTGGCCATACGTACACACTCCCCTACAGTAGCAGGCAGAGTTAATATTTCCGTAATTTAACTCTTTTCAGTCTTATCGTACGCTTACATTTTAATCGAATTTTAAACGTTTAACTTTCTATTGATTTCTTATGTTTTCTGTCCCGTGACTATGAATGCTGTAAAGGGTTCGAAACGTCGGGAATTTTTTCATAATGAAACGCGATAAAATCCATAAAATAGTTTATTTTAACCATGTCTTACTGCTACTCAAAGTTGTTGTAACTCGCACACAGGGCGGCGGCGGTGTGGGCGGTAGCATGCGGGTGGGCACAACGGAGTCCTGCGTGGAAGTGGGGGCGGCGGAGCTGGAAGATGGAGCTAGTGGGCTGCAGGTGCGCCGCGGCAGTGAGCCCACGCTGCACCAGGACACCATGCCGCCGCAGAGACAGGTGCGTCGCACATCAAAAATGGTGACGGGACTTTTTTTGCCACGTATAGTTTGCTGTTAGCCCGGCGGCTTTGACGGCTTCTTCGAAAGAGGTCCGCGAACTCGGGAGAACAACGTTGCTGGTGCATTACGAGGACACGAAAACGCCGTTCGCTGCTAACACCCTGCTAACGAAAGATGGACAATCGACTAACGTGGAGGTTCGAATCTCGGCTTAGATCGCAATCGAACCGACGGGCTTAATGTCTTTATTATAAAACGTGAAAGCAGAACGCCGCCTGTTGCGCTCTCTGTCGCACTTACGGGTCTTACAGGGATAGTGACTTACCCCGTTAGACCCCGCTTGCAGCTTTTTCTTGACATAAATATAGCCTGTGAGTACACTGTGGTAAAGCCCGGAGCTTGCAGAGTTGAAAGGCAAGCACTCTTAAAGGACTAACGAATCGGCAACAATATTCATGTCGGATATGGATGTATTCTGTCCACAATTAAGGCTGCTCCTACATTTTTCTGCCTCTGCAAAAGGAGTGTTTTGAGTGTATTAAAATGAATATTGTTAGTGTACCGGTGGTAGTTTATGATGCTTATTATATTAAAACAAATTTAAATTAAATAGAAAGATGTTGTTTTTGGTTACATGTATTATGTTATATGGTATATACGCGTTTCCCTTATTTAGAGTGGACGCGTATTTTGTTTTTCATTCATACTTTTCAAATACTTTTTTTTATTACGAGCACATAATTCTTGTCTACAGGCCACTAAAAGTGTTGGTGGCGATGGTAAACGTTTTAGCTATTAAAAATTACACCAGAAGTAGAAAATGGGCCTCTGTAGAGTTTATAACAATGTGTTGAGTTTCTGATCGTGGAGGCAAACCGCTAAACTGCTCGAAGAGCATAACTATAGCTGGTAGAGTTGAATTGGAACATTATACTTTCTAAAAAGAGGTCGCTGCTTTGTTATGTAGAACGAAATATTTTAAGAAAAAGTTTCATGCCAAGGGCGCAATTGCCTTTCACGTAATATTAAACCTTTCCATAAATTTTAATTTTTAATTTTTAGTGCTAGTCTCTGTAGTTAAGATTGACAATATTTCTGTTAAAACTTGCCGTCTTTTAAACTTGAAAATATTTCTCTATATTTTCATCTTCCCATTACATGAAAAATATTGTGTGACGAACAAGTTATTTTCTAGTGTCTGTGTGTTTATACATTTATAATATGTATTTATTTACAAAATAAAAGTACGTTTAAGTGTGTATATCAGTTTCCTAGTATCCATAGTACACGCTTCTGGAGTGTATTCCAGGATAAAACAGCCGGGCTTAGCGCTAAAATCGACTATCTCCAATTACCACTGCGATAACAAATCTATTTAAACCGGTTATGTTTCAGCGCCAACCCACTGACAACGCGCAAGATAATGAATGAACTAAAACCGGTTAGGTTGGCAATTAGTGCTTGGTTAAAATGACGATATTCGTTCGAATTTAGTTTAATGACTTCATTTAATCAATATTGGTGCGCTAGCTACTGCCTGTTCGAATTATGACGTTTTTAAAAACATTACTTGCCGAATCTCAGTCTGCAACGCAAAATATGTATTATTTTACTTTATCGACTTCGCTTTAATCATCATATACTTCTTATGATCTACAAAGTTAGAAATTGACAACAATATCATAAGCTGTTCTACTAGAGCTAAAATCCATGTCTTGCCATGAAAAAAATTTATTTATTTAATATTTTCTGTTATCATAGTACTACCCTCATATCTATTGCCTTTCGTCAAGCGAATGAACTCCTCGTCTTCCGTCTCCCTTTAAACTCATGCCGTCCCTTTCAGGTTTCCGAGCAAACGAAGCGCTGGTCCGCGGCGGTCGTGTGCCGAGACGACGGCCGGGCCACGCAGAAGGTGCACCCCCTTCCAGACGCCAAACAGGAGCGGAATACTCACGGGCAGCATTTCCAGCGGCAGACCAACCGGCTGTCCATGCAGTTCTCGGGGCCTGGGTGAGTGTCCCAATGAATAGGTTTATATCCTTGTAACGCTAACGCAAACCTAATCATGATGTAGCAGCTGCGATGTCGACTTTTTTGCGATGGCAAGCGAGCTGACGGTTGAACTGATGTTAAGTGATAACCGCCACCCTAGGATATTTGCAACACCCGTAGGGTTGTGCCATGCCACCTTTTAATCAAGTGTGCACCGGTTATCTCAATCACCAGACGAAAGACACCACACTGCAGTATAACACTTCCACTTCACGTCGGGCTTCTGTGAAGTCGTGGTATGTCCCCGGATGGACTTTCCCATTAGTGCATGGATTCAGACTTCCCGATTTAAGGTCTTTGTTTTTCACAAAGGACTGGCTAGTGCATGGTAATTGATGGTAATTGATGACCCAGCCGTACATGGTAAACTAAAATATGATCTTGCCGCAGAGGCACCTGTGTTATATTCGCGTTTTAGTGGAATGAACAAGATTGGCTTTACGGTGCAACTTGTTTTCGAAAAGCTCTATTAGCACTTTGTAATTCGATATATGGCGATATTCTATTTGTTAAACTTAAGTCTTTCTATGTTTGGTGAAAAGTAAATAGCATGAGTTATGTCTACCCGATAAGGGATAATCACATGAGAGCTTGACATAAAGGCAATTTAATGTCTTACGTTTTTTGAGAATCTAGTAATCCAATTATAAGTTTTAATGTAAGGATATCAGGATTGTGTTTTACAAAACTTTATTCACATACGATTTTTTACGATTTATATGACTTTCAGAAGTGACGTTTGGCTGGACGCAGCTGAGCGAGTGCAAATCTACGGCAGCAAAAGCCTTCCACGAGATGCGAGGCGAGAACCATTAGGGCAGGACACCCCTGTCGACTCCCTTCCGAACCAAAACCATCGGTACGTATTTGTAGTCGCCATAAAGTTAAGAAAAATGTGCACTAAACCCATTTGAATTTGTATTCGAAATTTTGGAATAGGTATATACATCATTTAAATTATAATATTGTATTGAGTCAAGTTACGGGTAACATTAAAACACTGATTTGTTCTGTAGTCTTTATTACCATTAAGGTACTTTAGCTAAAGTTCGCCTTGACCTTATCATTATGTATGTATCAAATCTGTTGTCTTATCTGCATTATTCATTTCGTCAGATTTACTTACAAGTTCAGATCAAAGATAAAAGTTGGCATCTGCTTTCATGATTGGTTCAGCAATAAATCATGCAAAATTCTGTAAATAATTTTGAAAATACTTTTTTCTTTAAGTTCATTGTTGTTTTGTCTTGGAATTTGTAACTCTTATGTTTAATATTGTTGCAATTTACATTGAAATTACATTTTTTTTACTATATCCTTGCAGAGTGGAGGACATGCTTCGCTGGGTCTCTGGCGTCAACAATGTCGCCAGCGTTCCGCCTGTACAAGAACGGCCTCTAGACCTTTTGCCTGAAGGTAAGACTAAATATATTTAATAATATTTTCAATTCCATGACTCAGTGACGCCGTTACTAAGAAATTGACTTCGGCGTCGGGGTTCGTGGGTTCGATTCCCACACGGGACTAGTATTTGACCAACAGATAATTGTTCCGGATCTGGGTGTTTGTTTGGAGGGGAGATTTGATGTTATGCAGGCGCCCGGTCGTAATAAACATAGCTAAAGCGGCTTACAAAATGATTCATACGTTGGTCTCGACGTAGCCAGGAATATCTTCATCATCCTGCATGATATTTTAAATTCCATTATAAGTTGGGCCACGCAACAGCTTTCGCTCATTGTCCCGGCGCTTGTCAATGAAATTGTTAATTTTAAGTGCTGATTAATATTTATATAAGCAAAAAAATTTCCAAGAAATTTGAAGTCCGCCAATCTGCAGTGGGTCGCTTGGTGGATTATCCTCTAATACCGTCTCTACAGAGAAGACGTTTGCCCAGCAGTGGGACATGTATAGGATGTTACTTAATGGTGCATCGATTCAAAATTGCATGGTATTAAAAAGTGATTGTATGAACCGTGTGATGCAGCAGTCGGCAGCAGCGAGCGCGCCGTGACGGGGCTGGAGGTGCCGGTGGGGGGCGCGGGGGGCGCGGGGGGCAGCGGGCGGCGCGTGTCCGTGGCGCTGGTCAAGGGCGAGAAGGGCCTCGGCTTCACCATCACCACGCGCGACAACCCTACCGGCGGCCACTGCCCCATCTACATCAAGAACATCCTGCCCAAGGTAAGGCCACGGCCACTGAAATAGGGCTGCCGACTCCTTCTATTTCAAATCAAATCAAAAATATATTTATTCAAATAGACGCTTGCGCGGTCTTATGAATCGTCAAATTTTACATCAAAAATTATGGCTCGTAGGGTGCCACATACCATATTATACTATCACATTGACGAACAATGACTCCGTGGCGCAGTCGTTAAGGTATAACTTTCGTCGCCAGGGGTAATGGGTTCGATTCCCACACGGGGCTCATATTTGTGTGACTAACACAATTATGTGTTTGTCACACAAATTGTTTCGGATCTGGGCGTTTGTTTGTCCACGTGAATCAAAAACTATTATCCTGTTATGCACAGTTATGCTGAGTTTAAAAGTTCCTATAATTCTAAGATTGAAAAGGTGTCTTATAAAATTGCTTCCCATTTTGATAGTAGTTCCTCTTACTATCAAAACTACTATTGTAATCTTTTGTTACGCATCTTTCGTTTACTCTGTATTGGGTATTTAAGTTTTACTTAGTTGGTAAAAAAAATCATAATTACGAGTTATAAATAATTAGATGTTTAAAATGAGAAACAGTTTTGAAAGACCAAAAAAAAAATCTGGCCGTCGCCGGCTCTTGGCTCTCCAATCGAAGATTTTTGAGACAGGCAACACACGCGAGTTGGAAATGGATACTTTAAGATTGTAATATTGTTTAATACTATTAAAATTAAAATATTTCACGGTCACGGGACGGTCTATGGTATTTGACGTTCTTATATCATTATTAGTACTGGCTATCGTCAGTTAAGAGACACGAAGACTGCGAGAATATCTTTAAAAATATTTTAATTCTAAAAAGTTTCACAGACTATTGATGTCCAATGAAGCAGTAGAATGGAAATAGATGATATTTTACTATTATGATATTAATTAGTAACTAACAAAAAACATAATTTATAGGGAGCAGCTGTTACAGACGGAAGGCTTAGGGCTGGTGACAGGCTGGTCTCTGTGAACAACGTGTCGGTGTCGGGCCTGACGCAGCAGCAAGTGGTCACGTTGCTCCGTAACACCCCGACGGACTCTACCGTCGATATCGTAGTGGAAAGAAGCACGCCTAACAGAACTCAGGTATTTTGTTAATACTTTTACAAATAATCGAAAAAATACACGTCACTGTTTTATACATTTATAATGACAAATAACTTCGATTATTCCTTGAGCTTGTGTTTTCTGTTATGTGAGAAAGTGGCAAACGAGCTAGCGATTCACCTGATATTAAGTGATTACCGCCACCCATGGACATTTGCAACACTCATAGGGTTGCAGAAGCGGTGCCGCCTTTTAATAAAGTGGGTCCCGGTTACCTCACTCACCAGACGAAAAGCAGGAGTGTAACACTTCTACTTCACGTTGGTCTTCTGTGAAATAATAGTACTAACCTGGACGGACCTGCCCCTTCGTGCAACGGCGAACATTGTTGCGTGACCCTACCACAGTAAATATGAATATGGGTAATTTTTCATTTTCAGAGGGTTGAACCCCAACAAAGTCCTAACAAATATGCGGAGAAAGCTGTAGGTTCGACGAACAGTGTGATAACAAAGCCAGTGGAAGCCAATCATAGCGACAACGGCCGGGTGTCGAGCATGGTTAATGCTATCAACCAAAACCAGAACAATAGCTCTATGAGAGGTCGAATACAAAAGAGCTCGTCTAAAGACGATCTTTTGAGTAAGGAGCAGAACATGGAATCGCCTGTACAAGATGCTTTAAACTCATCCACAACTTCCGTAAGTATTCGTTTACACATTCTAATTAACTTTATAATTATTGTGATTACTACCACCCATTGTTCACAATACCCATAGGTACCCATAGGTTTTGTGATTGTTTTTGTATGGGAAAAGTTGGCAAGCGGGCTGGTGGTTCAACTGATCTTAAGTGATACCCGCCGCCCATTAACATTTGGTTACACCCGTAACCTTGCCACCTTTCAATAAAGTGGAAGCCGGCTACCTCACTCATCAGACGAAACGCAGAAGTATAGCACTTCACATCGGTCTTCTGTGAGGTCGTGGTACTATCACAGTTTTGTGAAATCTTTGCTGCATCAATAACATTTCTGCGGAAGCTGCTGTATATCTCTACTATAGTTGGCCGTTTAGCTATGGTAATGTTATAAACCTAATATAATATTATAGTTCTCGTCTATTTCAATTTATGTTAGACTAACATAAATTGAGCATAGCTCTAGCAGATAGAACAACGAAACTTGTAACCGTTACAAGTTCTGTTGTTAAATGTGCAATTTTTCAGATACCGGGACTCCGAAATCGACTTATCCTACGCTTGGATGTTCCCGTTCACGACTCGGAGAAAGCTGGCCTTGGTATCAGCGTAAAAGGGAAGGTAACAGTTGGTCCTGACCCTCAGGATTTGGGTATCTTCATCAAGTCAGTATTAAACGGAGGTGCCGCGTCGAGAGATGGGAGGTTAGTTTGCATTTTGTTTATTTAAAAAACAAAAAATAATTATCTATTCTAAAGCTGGGTCCCTAAAATAATTTCGTCATTACTCATCTCTTTGATAATAAAGTAGATTACGAGTTATCTCTACGTGATATTTATTGAGGTTATTTGTAATAGTGTTTTGTATACAACATTCAAATTAATAAGTTGAATTCAAATCAATGAGAACAGCAATAAATGCTATTTTTATATAATTGGCTTTAAATAACATTTTTTTCATGTTAGCTGATGTTAAGTGATAACCGCCGCCCATGGACATTTGCAACACCCGTGGGGTAGCGGATGCGTTGCCATTATTGTCTTTTAATAACCGGGCCCCGTCTACCTCACTCACCAGAGGAAACGCAGAATTATAACACTTTCGCTTCACGCCGCTCTTCTGTGAGGTGGTACCTGCCCCATGGACCTGCCCATTCGTGCAACAGTGAACTATTGCATGCTCTGCAACTAAGTTTGGCGACCCGAATGGGGTAGTGGGTAGCGTACTTGCCTTCTGCGCTACAGGGTGTGGGTTCGATCCCCACTACTGGAAAAATATTGTGTTTTTCTAGTGTCTGGGTGTTTATACAGCGTGTCGGTACCATCGCGACAATAAATGAACACACATATAGGGGATAACTTTTTAAAGTTGTATTAAACATTTAAATTATTTAAACATCAATATTTACAGAGTTATAAAATTTTCCAAAACAAAGAATTTTAGAACACCCTCACCTATAAAAGCGTAACGTAAAGTTCATTTGTAAAGTTCACAAAGCATATGAATGGGTTGAATGAATTTAAAAGAGACAAAACATACTGTTCGAAGGAGAGGCTTGTAATACGACGCTGTGGTGCGAGATGTATAGGGTGTTACAAATTTTGTTTCTTTTTTACTTAATTAGTTTGTTTGAAAAATATTTTTTTTAGTTATGGATTTTGTTTAACGTTAATTTTTTTTATGATTATTGGCACGTAACGTTAGACGTGTGTTCATTTATTGTCGCGATGGTAACGACACGCTGTATATGTATAATATCCATTTATTTACAAAAGAACAGTTTGTTTAAGTAATGTTTATCAGTTTTCTAGTACCCATAGTACAAGCTTTGCTTAGTTTGTGTCTAGAAAATGTTGTGTAAAAATGTGTCCTAAAAATGTATATAAAATATAAATATATATACAAGCCCACTGCCCGCGTGCGCGACACCGTGTTCGACTAACGAAGCCCCCCCCCTCCCCCTCACCCCCCGCCAGGCTGCACACGAACGACCAGCTGGTGAGCGTGAACGGCGTGTCGCTGGTGGGGCAGAGCAACGCGCAGGCGATGGACACGCTGCGCCGCGCGCTGCTGCACGCGCGGCCCCACGTGCGCGGCAGCATCTCGCTCGCCGTCGCGCGCCGCACCGGTACCCACCGCCGCCGCCATTTTTACCACTGCTAGGACCACCACCAGCACCACTACTACTTTTACCATTACCACTACTACTGCTGCTGCCATCAACACCACCGTAATACCATTACCAAAACCGCAAACGCAGCCACTATTATTGTCACTACTATCATCACCTCTACCACCAACACCACTACTACTACCATCACTATGACTACTACTAACATCACAACTAGCCAATACCTTCATCTCTGCCACCACTGAGACCTCCACCGCTGCCACTAGAACCGTCGCCGTTACCAATGTCACCGCCATCAATGCCAATTATCATAGTACGCGCAAAACATATATGCACCTCTTAAATTCGTACAAGTCATAACCACATCAGTACACAATTTATAAACAGTCCATTGCTGCTGTGCGGGGTTTTCCTGATTACAATTCTCCGAGCTAACTTTATTCAGACGCCTTTTTGGCTGCGCGACCAATAGTACCATTATTTTTGTCATAAACATAACATTGCAACAAATAGCGCCTTGTGCAAGCAAAGTTAAAAACCTATTATTTATAAATTCGCCATACATAATTAACATAAATAACACAAGTAGAATAATTATAAATAATTAATTATCTCTCTTCACTTCTATAGCAGCATGCACCATACACAGGAGCAAACAAACAACATCACTTTTACCACACGCAACAGTTTTCACTGTTGCACGAACGGGCAGGTCCGTCCGGGTAATTACCACGACCTCACAGAAGACTGGCGTAAAGTAGAAGTGTTACACTTCTGCGTTTCGTCTGGTGAGTGAGGTAGCTGGGTGGCCCACGTAATTTAAAGGTGGCTATGCATTTGCAACCCTATGGGTGTTGTAAATGTCCATGGGTGGCGGTTATTACTTAACATTAGGTGGTAGGTCTTTCAAATACAAAAAAACAATAAAGACTTTCAAAAAATTTGATAGTTTATCCGTTTCTAATTTATACATTAACCGAAGTTTAAGCATGTCTGGTAAGGGCTATGATATGTAACTTCCAATTCCTAACCAAATTGACGTCCTCGCAGACAGCATGGACAGCCTCGCCAGGTGGAAGGACGACACGCCGCCCAACGGGAACGACACCACCAACTCCAACGACAACAGCAACTCGCAGAACTTCAACACGATCATATACAACTCTGGCGACAAGGAGATCCAGAAGGACGCCGTGGACAGCCACGACGGCAGGGCCGGCAAGAAGCACGCCTCCATCGTCACGATAAACAACAACAACAGCTGGGTCTCCAATCAGTCGGACGATAGCAAAGGTTACCTGGAAAGGTAGTAATCCCTTTACGGGACAATGTATACGTCAACAACAAAATCCCTAAAAACGTTCAGAAAATCAACTGCTAAATTATAACATTGAAAAGGGAACGTTTGTGTGTTAAAGGCTTGGCACACTTTCTTTCAAATGGACTTTAATATATTTTAAACATGTTTTACCATCAAATAGTATTAAAACAAAAATGTCTCGCTAAATTCCTTTCGCCGGTTCTTCTCAGAGGCTTTATTTCCGATCCATTAGTAGTATTTTGACAATCGATAATTAAGTGTAACGTGGAACCGTTTAATAAATATGCTATAATTTTAGGGACAAAGATAGCGTCCCCCACGACACGAAGAGGGATAGCTTCGAGTGGAGCCGCCTGGACGGGTGGAACCCAGTGATAGACCGGCTGACGGGGCTGAGGAACGAGAGTTACTACATGGCGACGCAGATGGACGGGACCGTCTCGAATGGCGGCCACCACTACCGCCAGAATTTGGGCCACGTCCACATGTCCCGCTCGCCGCCGGCGCACCACAACGTTATCATCGAGGAGGACTACGGGACGGCGAAGTGAGTACTCTTAGCTTCATCTTAAAGATAAACGCCCACATAACGCTTAAAGCGGTTGTAGTATAATCAACCAGGTAGACTTGGAGTACGCTAGTGGTGGAGCCACACAGCTTCTGCTATTGTATGGCTGGCCGGCTTGCTCGTGGTAGCACTTCAATCTCAAAGAGAGCTGCCGACGTAATTTTTGGCAACATTTAAGACTACTCAAATTTTCATAGTGTGCTTGAGGTCTTAAAGGGCCCTAAATTACAGTGGCAAAACACCTGTTATCTGTCTAATGTTTCGGATGAATTTAGGCGGTTTTCTGCTCTTAAAATTTTAATTTAATAAATTATTAACAATTAAATAATTACTACACAGCAGGGACGGCGAGTGGTTATGAGCAAATTGAATAGGTAGAATTGTGACCAAATTTAATAAGTAGAATTAAATTTGCTAGAGATGTTTTTTTATATAAATGTGGCAAGCGAGCACATTAGTCCTGATGCAAATGTTTTTCACCGCTTATGGACGTATGTGGGGTCGCAATGCGTTGCCAGATATTAAAAGAGGGCTCCGGCTATCACTCACCAGGCGCAACGCAAAATTATCATATTTTCATCGATCGTTTACGAGGTCGTGGCACTTTCTCGGCGCAGCTGCAGCAGCTGCGACTGTCACTGTAAGCCCATCGGCCGCAGTCACAGTAAAACTATTGATAGTTGCCACTATCAGCCATACTGTCCGCGAACCGTAGTGAGAGAGTTCTGTGGGCGGCAGGGGCGGCGAGTCGGGCAGCGAGTGCGGCGCGGGCTTCAGCCGGGACGCGGTGGGCCGCCGCTCCATGTCCGAGAAGCGGCACGCGGCCCTCGACGCCAAGCAGACCGGCACCTACAAGAAGATCAAGGAGATCAAGGCCGTCAGCGGTGAGACGGCTCGCCTATTTCTGTACTTAGGAGCACCCGATCGAACACGTCACTGCTTAGTACCCTGTTTACTCGTATAAGCAGACAGCCAGTAACCCATTGCAATGCCGATGTACGTGTTGAAGTCAAGGCTTCATGATTAGTGAAGTGTCTTAGACAATTTGAACATAAAATGCGCATAGAGTTCTCGGCGGAAGTGCGTTTCTAATCCAAGCACAGACCATAAATATAATAAGTCTTATAAGTATATAAAATAAATCTATTATTTGTTCTAATTGTAAATTAAATATTTATTCAAGTGCAAGTCTAATAGTAATTTTCGGTTATATGTGACCTATTCAAAGGGTCGACAGTATAAACGTGTCACCTACCTGCTTTATTAAGGTATAGTAAGTATTGATTTTATACGTATATTTTAATTCGTTTCAGCAATGCAAGTAGGACCATCACTGGGGATGCGAAAATCGTCGAGTTTGGAGTCTCTGCAAACGGCAATACAAGAAACGCAAAAAAATCCGCGCAACGAACCCTTATACGCTCGGGCGCATCCGCGTAAGTTGTTATTTACTTTTATTTATATAAATTTGTACATGATTTATATCTTGTTTAAGATGAGTAACTTTCATATGCATTCATTTTTTCTTCAGCTCTTAAACATTGGTTAACGGATGACAATAACGCCCCGGAGCATATCATAAGGGGATCACCACAACAATCCTCGCTTTCACATAAGAAGCCATCGTTACTAAAGTCTTTATCGACGATGTTCAGGTAAGATATTCATTTTTAACTCCCAAATATATAAACGTTTCCACAAAATATTATTAATCCGTACAAATTATACAGTGCTTGAGTTATTTGTCACACTACACTACAATGAGCCACGTCCTTTCACACAGGGAAGACATAGATACTAAGTTTCGCAGAGTTTATTTAGTCTTAATCGACCTTGAGAATCTCCTTGGGAACCCTTCTTGAGACACCCATTTCTTAGTCATACAAATACTTGTCCAGTGTAGAAATCGAACACAGGACCTCTGGCCACGAAGCCCATATCTTAGTAACTGCGCCACCGAATCACCATAAGTTACTTATTAGACAATCACCATCATCATTATTTCAGCCTGTTTAAGTCTACTGCTGAATAGGCCTTTCCCACAGACTGCCACGAAACAAGATCCAGGTGGTTCTATGAGCTATATGGCCAGCCCATCGCCGTATCAGCTATGTCGGTTATCTTTGTTCTGCAGAGAAATACCAAGCGCAGCGCCGTCCATAGCTCGACTGCGACATGAGCGACTTTGAGCTTGCTATTAATAATTAGACATCACTAGCGACCCGCCCCGGCATCGCACGGATTCGCATACAAACCTTTCTCGTAAATCACTCTATCTAGTAAAAAAAGCCGAATCAAGATCCGTTGCATGGTTTTGAAGATCTAAGCATACATAGGGACAGACAGACAGCTTTGTTTTATACAATGTAGTGATTCAGAGTTACGATAGACCTGGTGTTGCCAGGATTGGCAAGCCGCACAAGAAGAACGAGAGCGAGGCGTGCGGGAGGTCGCAGCCGGGGCGCTCCTCGGAGAAGTCGATATCGCGGGAGGCGCTCGAGCGGCACGGACGCCTCGACGAGCGCTGCGAAGACCACCCGCCGCCGCAGAGGTACTACAGTGCAACAGCCTAATGCCCCCCTGCTGGGCAAAGGCCTCGGTACAGAGGGTATCAGGGCATGGTCCAACACGCGACGTCACTGAGGATTGGCGGGCTTCACATGGCTTCGACATATTTTTTTTGTTATCATTTCGAAAACAAGTTTCCTCACGATGTTTTCCTTCACCGCTGAGATAATTGAGCACTTAAAATCACCAATCTCATTGGTACCGGCACCGGAGAAATCAGATTACAAGTATACTGAATTAAAATCGAGCGCCCGGACAACGAGCTGTCACGGCTCGAACGGCAGAGGGTGTTATCATTTAATTAATCACTTATAATATTACAATAGCCTTTAACACACACGTTCGTTCGAAGCGAGCAAACTTCTCTCGAACTGTGTGTTCATGCTCTGTGTGTGGCTGTGCCGGCCGGCAGGGAAGAGTCGAGCCGGTCGCGGCAGAGCAGCGGCGAGCGCGGCTCCCGCTCGGAGAAGCGCGCGCACGCGCCCCCCTACCGCGCGCCCCCCGCACGCACCGCGCCCCAGCCGCACCACGTGAGCACCTTTATGTTATGGGGAAATGCCTACGCATACCGGCCCTCGCGAGGGCGAGGAACGTTTATGATGGACTCGCACCGATGAAACCCCCACGACGTTCCGCCTTTTTATTTTGTTAAATTGGGTGAAATGCCTGCTGAAACGCAGGGTACAACGATAGGGTACGCGTATAAGGGCTCGCACTGACTAAAGCCTCCACCATGTTACCTGGAGCGCTTCGGCAGGGCCACGGAAACACTTTCGCACACTTTCGCGAACTTGCCACCGCTGGCCGCCTCAGCAGCCCCTCCTGAGGGTTCTCCCTCTTCTCGCGTCTTACGCGCTGGGACATTCAGCGCGCCTTCCTATCCGGCCCCCTTTTCACGGCCACCGTAAAAACTTTACGTCACTTCCGTGGTCAAAAAACATGGGAGCCCTGGCTCCAGCCAGTGCTAATACGCAGCAAGCCCTCCTATCCCTCAACAGCAGACCTCTGTGGGAGCGCCGCTCACCGTGTTTCAGCCGCGGATGGCGGGAATGACCGCATATCGTAATACTGACACTCTCTTCCCCCGCGGGCTCAACACCACTACATCAACGCCGCCCCGGCGAGGGGGATAGGTAGAGAGGCCAATACTGACTATCCACTTCCCCCACGGAAGACGGAAAGAGTGCCTCTTCTACCATCGTCTCCACTTATCTCGCTGTAGGAGTGGGTTCAATAAGACCATTCGTAGAAGCCCTCTCGAGTTCGCCTTGCACCACAGGCCGGCCCAGTGTGGCTGCCTCTTAACTTCACCGTGGGTGACAAAGCCATAGCTATTAGGCCCCGCCACCACGACAAGGTGAGCCCCATGGTAAAGGACATTTGCAACACCCTACGAGTGTTGCAAATGTCCATGGGTGGCGGTTATCCGGACCCACATTATTATGTGGCAATGCATCAGCTACCTTAAGGGTGTTCCAAATGTCACTGGGCGGTGGTTATCACTTACATCAGGTGAGTCGCCAGCTCGCTTGCCATCTTGTCACATAAAAAAGTTTATGATTATCGAAGGCCAAGCATGCGGGATGCGATGATAGTGACCTCTCTTTCACACCCCAGTCTTAAACATTTTTGTCCCCTTCGCGCTACACATTGCATAGTTGCGAACGATGTTATTTTGTAGATTGGGCACATGGTTATTTAGATATTAGAAACGAATGAAATTATATTAGCATTATGTCAATGTGTGCATTGGTGAGTGTAGTGTGTGCGCTGGCTACAATCGGCCTTTTGTTTCAGGGCATGGACTCAGCGTGGGGTCCCACGGGCCACTACGTTAATTACGAAGAAATTCAAAACTTTAAGTGAGTGTCCATATGTATATTATAGTTTTCGTAATAAAAAAAAATAAAAAAAATATACACTTAAATAAAACGAGTTGGACCGAGAGTCTGTTATTATATATTTCAAACAATATAAATAATTATTTCTTATATGAAAAAAAAAAAAAGTTACTAACTCAACTCCCTCTATACGTACTTTATAAATACTTTGAGATTTAGCCATTAACAAAATAATAATGTAGATTTTCATCGAGTTTCTGCAATATGTAATTATCCATAAGTCCAAAATAAATGAACTGTTTCAATTGCAGCGCACGTCGCGAAAAACTAAGCGAGGTGCAAATAGGTCAAATGAGGCTACAGATGAACGCACAGAGAGCAAAGGCTGAAGAGGAGAGGTAAATATAATTAGGATAACTCTTCTTCGTGACCTCGTTTTAAGTTATATTATAGATTATTGATTTTATAGTTTGTTCGAATACAATTATCTTTTGCAAAATAAAATAGATTAGGCTCCATATAATGTGTGTGTTTGTGTTGTTACTTCCCTTTACTAACTAATAAAGTCGAATAAAAGTTGATGTCTAACTACATTCATGACTGTTCGAAACTAAATAAATACAGTCCTAACATATTTGTGCCGTGGAATCTATGAATAAATTGTATCAAAGGCGAAAGGTGTCTTTGAAAGCAGCTATCAAAATTACCTATTTATATACCAACCACTAATAACGTCAAAATTATACAGAAGTATCTCGAAGACCTCTTTGATGATCTGTCACTTCAGTGGACAAACTTCCAGTCTTAACAGGAGTCAATAAACGTGTTAAATAAGGAAACCTGTTACGGCGTGTGGTGATATAAATAAAAAAAAAATTCTAACAACTAGCGACATTGCTTAGAATGGAGTAGCATAACGATATGTTACTTCTATAATAACACGTCTGTCAGACAGGTCGTTAAACAACTGCCATCGTAATTAAGTGCCGAGTCACGCCGGTAATCTCTTAAAAGTGCCCGCCAGGCTCATTTACTCGTGATACTCAATGCGCGAAGACATTAGCACGCACGTCGTTACATATTTAATTATGCTGTTAACCGACTTGTTTCTTTCCTGCCCCCCGAACGCCGTCGGTGGGATGGCTGTGCTTCGTAATGTGCACTCCGTTGCGATATCACATTGGCGGTTTTAACTGAAATCTGCTCGTCGCGAAACTGTTTTAACGGATTTTGTCGCGTCAAGTTAAACACAAACACGGCCGGGCCAGACATCACAACCTCAAACAGTATCCCGTCCGCCGAATTGAAAGAAATTAGAAAAGTCCATTTAACACGATAGGATCCTTTGAAATGTGTAGTTAGTGGACAATGTATTATCCGCGCAAATAAAACATATCATAATGATGTTTGTTCCATAAGAGAACATATCCTTTCACTTGAAAAAGATACACTTGATCAATTTCTATGTACTATTCCTACCGCAGCCGCTCATTTATACAGGGAGGCTTTTCTAAGTGTATCCATTCTTTTATTAAATTCTAGAAATAAATAATGTTATATAAAAAATGATACATATTTAAAATCACTTTTAATAAATTAATTACATTCATTTGAACTTATCTTAATATGTGCCTGATTTATGGGCAACTCATTTATTTTACGCGCGATCATTCACAACTAACACACACACACACACACACACACACACACAAGTTCGTTTCAAAAGTATACGATGCATTTATGAATGACTACCGCATTGTCAATTCTTTTTTTTAGGGAACATAATGGCAATTTTTTTTTGAAAAAAAAGTTTGTTTTTATTTCAACAAACGATTATACTACAGAGTTTGAACCTCCTTTGTGAATTTGGGCACCTTTAGAAAAGCCACCCTGTATAGTGCTCGTTATCATCATAGTGGTTTATATTAATATATATACTAAATTTTGACCGAGACAAAGATCCAAGAATTTTTCTGGCAATGATCTGAAATAATAAAAAAAAATATTGATAATATAAAAATAACTATAACATTATTATTACTGGCACGTGCTTGCGTATAAGTAATAATAGGTATGTTTAGTGGTGTAAATAGTTACGGTGCTATAAAATTTATTGCAGAGTCAATATCTCTCGGTTAAGTATCGGAACGTGTCGCCGCTGTTGAAATCGATCAAAACATTTATTATTGAGCAACGATAAACGTAAATGAACGAAATAAATACTACTCCTATGCAATTTTTAGCGGATGCGCCAAGCATTGCTTAAAATGCTAAAAAATAACGTAGATAAAAGACGTTAAGATTTTCGTCGGTGTGGCAATCAGCCTTTAGTTTAGCTTAGTGACTAAAACGTCAGGCCGCGAATGCCGAAGACGTGTGTTCGATTCCCACAGCGGCGACAATCTTTTCGTGCTGTTCTCTTTCTTTCGTGTTGCACAAATTTTAATAATTTTAACTTTTTATCAGCATATTCGCAAACAACATAATCTCTACTTATGAATATTCTTGAGTACCGAACTATAAAGCATCAAATTTCATTATTCCACCTCGACCGCGTAATATGAATAAGTACAGTGAAACAGTTCGTTACTCCGGGAGAGATTCCATTAATTTTTCAACGTATGTTACACCTACTCACTCTTCATTCGAGCGCCAATAAAACCGTTGTGATTACGCTACGGGCTCGATGTTCAGCGTTATAAATAGCTTACAGTTCATTAAAGACTTCATCAACATCCTGTTAATAAATGAACCCGATCTGGCGATTACATACGTTATAAAATAGGCTTTAATTTTGCTATTCATTAGGTAATAAAGCTTTAGTGTGTATACTTTTTCTAGTCTCTAAAACAAACAGAGTAGTGCTGTGAGTCACTAAATATAGTTCCCAACGTAATTTATTATGAAACTGGTTTTGTTTGTACTAAGAAAACTTATGTTGGTAGTTTTACCTTACCATAAATTAGGTTTTTACTAAGACTGTGTGTAATTTATTTGCACAATATAAAATAAAATAATGTTAATGTAAAAAAAACTGTTAATGGTTAACGATGTTACCGTTCAGCATTAATAGTTTAACTCGATTTCAAAATAACTCATGCGTTGTTGAAACTTTGGCTCCGTATATCGCCCATGTCGAAATTTTTGACTAGTATGTAACATAATATAATGTTATATAGATTTAATGTTATACATTTCAAGAAAAAAAGTCATGAGAAATTTTAAATAATCATACGTCGATCGTGAAATCCATTTGAATAAGTATTTTATTTTTTTGCCTTGGCTGGCTCAGCGACCCAAAGAGGATCTTGGCCTCCGACACGAAAAGACGCCACTGCTCTCTATTCTGGACTGTTTCTTGCCAATTGGCTGATTGGAGAGCTCTCAGATCTTTGTGGACTTCGTCTTTATTTATTTTTTTAAATTAAAATAATAAATGAATTCAATGTTGTACATATTTGAAATTTTAAGGTGTAAGGTTATTGAAATTAAATAAGTAAAACCGAAATTTTAGATTTCTTTAGACCTTTTGACTAGGATATTAAACATAGCTCAGTGCTATAGCGAAATGTTCTCTGTTGTTGCTTGTAAATTTGTTTTACAGTGGTATTTGCGGAATCGATGAGCGCTCTTTGAATTTTTGATGAGTGCGCTTTGAATTTTGACGCGAATGGCGCGGCGCGGCGGCTGTGTCGTCGATGCTTTGAATCGTCGATGCTTGTAGTGATCTACGTGATATGTTTCTGTACGATTCTCACCTCTGTGTCGTTTGCTTTAACGCTCACAGTCGCCGGGGCGTCGCGGGTGGCTATCACTCGCAGCGCTCCTGTAGGGAGGGCGGAACGCGGCCGCAGTCCAACTACTACGAGTACGAGAGCGCCCCGCCGAGGAGACCCGGCAAACTGTCGCACTACCACTGATCCGCAGCTCAACTTCCACTGGACAAAAGCTTCGTCAAAGAGCAACTTTTACGTTTCCCAAATGTGTACGAGTCAAAACTTATCGCATGTGCCTTCAATTGAAATTACTCGTGCATTGTTGCTTGTTGTCCGAGAGTTGTTGTTTCACCTTTGTACAATTTACTCGTGTTCACTGGACATTTTATGTATCCGTCCCGCTGGTGCTGGATCAAATGTAAACGGCGGCAAAATGTCACCGAGTAATCATGATTGTACTTATGGAATTTGTCTCGTACAATAATAAAGGTTTTTTATCGTTTCCCAGTAATGTATGTCTATTTTATACGCGTCTGCGCGACTTTTATGAATTGTAACACGGATATATTTCCATATGAATGTGTTCTTACCGACTTTGAAATGATAAATCGTTAAGAAAACATTGTTATTTAACGCTTAAAACGTCAACAAATCTTTTTTGTATAGATCTTAACTTGTATTCATCCGTAATAAATTACATTTTCACTGTTGTAACATGTTGCTAATGTTACAAATTTTAGATATTCTTTGCACCTTGTCTGCGTGTAGCAGTATTAATTATTTCTTCCGTGATCTATAATATCGCCTGCAGTACATCTGAAGTTTGTTCCAGAGTTTTAGTAATATGTAAGTGATAAAGGGGGATTGCCGTTTGTCATTCTCGCACCTATTTAATTCAGGTACAAGACTGGCAATATCTTATTCTTTATGGAAAAGATTTATAAAATGAGTAGCAGAACAGTTTTTTTGTTTGCCATATAGAGTAAAAAGTATATAAAACACACAGCAAACACAAAAATACCAGCTCAATATCTATGTTGTGAACAAATATCAAGTCAATCCATCTGCTAGTTTTGGAGTTTTATAGACACAAACGTACGGAAGCAATTTTTTTATTTATAAACATATTTAGATATTTAGAATACACTGCATTGTTATTGCCCCTCTTAATAAAATATTAAATCCAAAAAATGATTAGTTTTTATATAAATGTGCTTGCTACATACGACTGATAGACAAACATTCCGAACTTAATGTTAAGTGACAAGAATTTTAAAGTATTACAATTGAACTAGAAAGTAATGAAAATATTAGGCGGATTTCTTTAGAAATTTCCACACTTATATTATTAAACAGGAAGCTTAGTGCCATTGCGATACATGTTCTTTACTTGTGAATTATTTAACCATTCTCGAGTGAATTACGTTTAAGTGTAATTTTCTTGTTAGGATCGTGTAAATACATCTCATGCCGTTTTAGTCGTAACTCACTATTATGTTATTTCATTCCTACTTTAGCTCGTTTTAAGTTCTTAAATCAAAGAAGCTTTAATGTGTAGGTTTAATTTCCTAAATTAAGACGTGATAATTATACAGCCTCGACTGAATGTAGGTATCATTCGTCATTTTGTGACATTTTCGTTTTATATATTATAAAACACCTATGTTTTGAATCTTTACTGTTCTTATTTCAATTATTATGAATTAATTAAATTATCGATATGTGATCACAGTATAAAATCATTTTTTTTATTTTTATTTTCGAATGTCATTCCTTCTATTTTGATAATAACACCATACATGGAGTGTATAGTGATTTATGCAATTAGTTAAGAAACTTGAGTATAGGCAATGTATTGTGTAAATAAATTTATGTGATTGCAAAAAATGTTGTACAAACAACTAGAAATTTTGATGACGCTTGGCAATTGTGGTAATACCAAGGTACTTTTATACGGTATCAAAGATTTTTGAAAGCAATCGAATAATCTAGGCGCTCTGTAAATATTACTTATGACATTTATAAGCGCGTAATACATAAAAAACTGTTGTTTGTGTATTAATTGCAAACATTGGCCATTGGTACCTTAAATAAACAAGATATGACAGTGATTATGGTTTTTCTTTGCCCTATGTCGTAGCTGTGATAGCTCAGTGCTATTAATTGAGCATACACGAGAAACCGGGAGTTCATATCCCGATGCCGCCATCAATGAAACTGTTAATTACTGATTTACCTAAATATATGCTAAATTAGCAATTTAAGATAAATCAGCAATAAAAAAAGGAAAACATGAAACAACCCGCATGTTTTGGAAATAATAATAATAAACAAATATTACCATGATATTTCTCGCCATCTTGAAACAGCTCAAGACCAATTCGAGCTGCTGCCAATCCGTGTCCTCTTTTAGTCGCCTTTTACGACAGAGCAGGGGATAATTTAGCCCTATTCTATAAGCCCGAGATTACAGGGCTGGGTGAACTATACCCTAATAGTATCTGTTGGATGAGGTTTTTGCACAGCAGTGGGACGTATAAAGGCTTTTACTTAACTTTTACATCTATTATTGGTGTTTACTTCCGACCACAATACGGCATCATCATTTTAGCTTCTTTATCACTGTGGAGGGGAGGTTCTACACTGCGATGGCATTCGAGAACAAACTACTACATCGGCTATCGGTTTTAATACCTAGCTATATTGTCGGTCCATTGATATTTCAGCTCACCAATCTTCTGAACGTTATAAATAAATAAAAGAAGCTTATTTATTTATTTTGTTTATTCAGTATTAATTACCTATAAAAGATAAAAAAACTACGCTCTTAAATACATATTTTAATATTTCTTTCCAAGATAAAAACTATGTTCGTGCAGTTCTTGATCGACTATATTCGCTGTTACTATGTTACTGCTACTACCATGTTTGCTGTTCTGATCTGAGTGCAGACCTCAACAAATTTGATTTTTATAACTGCATTCGATTCATTTTCAATCTTGGATAATATGATCATGTCTCCTCCTACAGTTGGTTGTCCATTCGTCAGCGTGGGAGTTTGCGTACGTTCACAACAAACGATATCCTTCCATCCCAGTGTTTGGACTCCCTTATTACAATTTCTATGTACTAATCACGACAGAAGCCTTTTCTCTTCTAACAACTTTTTATAAGTTACTCCTTTTTTTATACGAAAATATACATTCTTATGTAAACTTATTCACAACTGCCTCGCGATTTTGAATACAAGCCTTCAACCTGCGCGCCCAGTCGTCTATAGCAGCACGAACGAGGTCCATATCGATCGGCGGCTGCTTCAATCAAGGATGAGACTGAGCCTGAATATTTTGGGTCTTCCAGATATACAGGTAATGATGTCCCATGTAGCTTTTATTTTATTATTAGAATTTAAAATTCTATTTCTTATGTAGATAGATTTTGCATGTATACAGACTCTTTTAAATATTTTTGAAAATTTTTATAGTTTACCGTTTATCGAAATTAGGGTCGTGATTCCACTGCCTCATATTATATAATTCATACAGTGAATCCCTACTTTTATATATACCCACTGTTGCCCAGTCACTACATTTTAATTTTGATTTTTTAACGATTGTGCGGGGTTTGTGTATTTTTTAATGTTTAATAATAATATATATTTAATATTGAATGTAATCATGTTCGTACAAAGTACTGTAGGTAAAAGTAAAGCGCGAAAAAAATACGAAAGGAAAAGTTGTTTACTATTGTTTACTAGTCTGATTTTGATTTTTTTTCCGAAGTCTCTATTGTGGGGGCTCCTTTGTGGAGGCCCCGGGGCTGTTGACCCGATTGCCCTCCCCTTAATCCGGCCCTGAGAGGAGGGCCAGAAGTCACGCGCCGCCAGACAGTTTTGGGCTCTTTTCGCTCATTTAGTTGGCGCAGAATCTTGATGGAATAATTAGTTAATAAACAAAATAAATTTTCTTTCTCATAGCAATTTCATGCAGTTATTTTGATAGAACCTTCGAAATTCGAATTTCAATAATTGAATAAGTATTTTTATAGCCAGCATTTAAAATTTTTCATTAAGTGACAGAACTTATGACCCGACTAGGTATATATTTATTTAAATAAAAGTTTATTTATGTATTGCAATGATTGTATTTATTGTAATATTGTTTTATTACCTAATAATTGTATGTTTTAATGTTTAATAATAATATATTTATTTTAATAATTTTTCTTAACTTTTACTATTCTTGTTTTATATTTTCACTATCTAATAGGTTGAGTAGTAGAGTAGTAAAGTTAAAGTTAAGGTTTTATGACAGTACTAAATCTGAGTTAATCAATTACTTAATTAATTACTAACTATAAATTAATTAAAACCAATTTACTGTGTGCTTACAACTTTACTGGCAGTGAAGGTTATTACAAAATATGTAGAAATTGAAAACTTGTGAAGTGTACCAACCTGCAGTGAGACATAAATACAGGTAATGAACAACTTATCTTTAAGATATTCTTGGGAAATACGTGCAAATAATAAACACGGCGATTCTCCATTTACTCCGAATCAGTGCGGAGATTAAAACGTTGCTTGGAGAACATGTCGTACAAACTTTTTTTTTACGATACAGTACTTTTCTTCGTACTTTGTCGTTTTTAGAAGTAGTAAGTTACTTTTGAGTTTTGTTGCACTTGAGTAAAGCAACTAAGTAATGTTGCAATTTCAAGCAATTTGCCTTGCACAGAACCCGTCGAAGACGAATTTAATGGAATTCTATACGTATAATATACATAATAAAAGTAAACGGTAAAGTGTTGAAATATGGCGACGAGTGTATTTTCGAGTTGAGACAAGATAAACAATTTAAAAGAAACACGGACCTATAGGTCACTCAAGTACTTTATCGACTTTGCATTCTTATAGTTGAAGTTTAATTCAAGGTTTGCGAAAGGTTATTTGAACACTACATATGGTGTTGAGGTATGGAATCCACCTATATGTTAGTTTAACACGAACAATATAATAAAGTTTGTAGAAATAAGGATGAAAAGTTTCTCGCCGCTGCGGGAATCGAACCCGCGTATTCCGGATTCGCACTCAGACACTTTAACTACGCAAGCTCTTTTAAGCTCAAGCAAAGCAAAATTTCAATGTCTTTTATCGACATTGTTTTCCCAATTTCAAGCAATGGCTCATTTATTATTATTTA